CTTTTATCCAATGAGAATTACCACCTAATATCACGGCAGACTTCGCCCTGACTTTGGCTTTGCCAATTTCCCATAAAACTAAACAAAAACCTCCTGAAATAGCCCAACAAATTATAAAAATAACCGGCTGCCCGGATTTAGAATATACTATCACCGCTCAAGGTTATATTAATTTCCGTTTCCCCATCGCCTATTATCAACAATTTCTTAACGAGACATTAACCCAGACTGGCCAAAATCTCCGGGGAGAAAATAAAAATTTTCGTCTAAATATTGAGTACGTTTCGGCTAATCCGACCGGTTATCTCCATTTGGCTCATTTTCGGCATGCGGTAGTTGGCAACACACTAGCCAATATTTACCAATTTTGTGGTTATCCAATAACCCGAGAATACTACATTAATGACCGCGGAGGACAAATTATTTCTTTAATTAATTCAGTTTATCTTTTTTATCATCAGTTGCAAAACATTACTCCGACCAAGACGGGCCAAATAGAATATGCGGGAGCAGCCAGCCAAGAAATCGCCCGGCAATTAATAACCAAATGAGGCAACAAATATATTAATCAAGAATTAAACGCCGAAGATTCTGCGATTTGAAAAAGAGAAATTTTAACGCTAATTTTAGCCAGAATCCGCCAAGATTTAGAAAAATGTGGAGTTAAATTTGATGTTTGATTTTCCGAAACGAGTTTATACGAAAAAAAAGAGCATTTAGAATTATTAACCGAATTAGAAAAAAAAGATTTGGTTTATACCCAAAACGGAGCAACCTTTTTTCGCAGCAGTCTCGGGGGCGACGACAAAGACCGAGTAATTATCAAGCAGGACAGCGATTACACCTATTTTTTTTCTGACATTCTTTATCATTTAAACAAATCTAAAAGGGCTGACAAATTAATTAATATTTGAGGTGCCGACCACCATGGAACCATTGCTCGCTTAAAAAGTGCTTATCAATTATTAGGTCATAACCCTGAGAACTTACAAATAATTTTAGTGCAAACGGTCAATTTACTTACCAAAGATGGTCCGACCAGATTTTCCAAACGAGCAGGCAATACTATTGAATTAGCCGAAGCCTTAAAATATCTACAATTAGACCAATTAAAATTTTTTTTGTGTGAAAAAGACCCCAACCAGCCCCTTTCTATTAATACCGAATTACTGAAAGAAAACCAAGAAAAAACCCGCCTTTATTATATTCAATACGCTCATGCTCGCTGTCATCAGATATTCCAAAAAGCCCAACAAAAAAACATTGACCGAATTGGTTCCAGTATTGATTTATTAACCGACCAAACTGAAAGAAGTATATTTAATTTACTAATTCGTTTTTTTTTTGTTTTAGAAAATGTCATTGAGGAAAATAAACCTCATCATTTAATTAATTATCTCTACGAATTGGCTCGTGCTTGACAAATATATTATCAAAATAGCATCATTTTAGAGTCAGAAAACCCTGAGTTGACGTCCCAAAAACTTCTCTTAGTCAAAAACATACAAATAATTTTAAAATTGGGGCTGGGATTGATGGGGATAGAGGCGCCACAAAGAATGTAATTTTATACTTCTCTTCCTTCAAGTTTAATTTGCTATAAAAAATTATAATATTTCAATTGGTTGTCGCTAAAACGCAATTTTATCTAGAATTATCTCTTCGAATTAGGGTCCTCATTGCAACTGTCAAAAAGTTAACCATTTCTAATTATTTTTTTAATTGCCTGGCAAGTTTTTTCTAACTGGTCCTCTTCCTGGTGATAGATAAGAACGCAGCCGTCCGCTTGAACCTCAATGGTTGAACCCGTTTCCTCGGTCAATTGATTAATGGTTTTGCCACGAGGTCCAATAATTAGACCAATTTTTTCTTTGGGTACTGGCAATTGGAGACATTTAATAACTTGGGTTGGTAAATGCGGGCGAGGGCGATAAATATGCTTTTTCATTTCGTCCAACAAATAGATTCGGGCTTGGCGGGCCTTGGCTAAACTCGACCTTATTAACTCCTGGCTAATTCCTTGGTTTTTGACATCCAATTGAATGGAGCAAATGCCCTTTTCGGTACCGGCAATTTTGAAGTCCATTTCACCTAATTTGTCCTCTAGGCCGTTAATGTCGTTGTAAATCTGCCCTTCGAAGAGACCCAAAGCGATGCCGGCAGCCGGTCTAATTAGCGGCACCCCGGCTGTCATCAAGGACAAAGAAGTGGCACAAATGGAGGCTTGTGAAGAGGAACCATCTGAAGAAAGAACTTCCGAGACTGCCCGAACCGTGTAGGGGAATGAAGCGGGAGCCGGAATTAAGAAATCAAAAGTCTTTTCTACTAATTCTCCATGTCCGATTTCGCGTCTCGAAACCGCCCGATAACTAGCAATTTCATTGACGGCAAAACCCGGAAAATTATAATGGTGAATAAAATGTTTATAAGAGCGATTGAAAATGCTATCAACCAACTGTTTTTCACTAACTTTACCGATGGTTATTACCGAAAGAACTTTGGTTTCGCCCCGTGCGAATACCGCACTACTGTGAACGTTAGGCAAATAATCAATTTGCATGTTTAGGGGTCGGATCTGTTCGGCACTCCGACCATCCAATCGCACTTGTTTTTCTTGCCACAATTTCCGCATTCAATTTCGTAGACAATCGTCTCAAAATTCCTCCACCAAATCTTTCACAAACTCTTCTTCTAATTGGGGATTTTGTGCACAATACTCTTGGGTTAATTGCTGGCGAACTTCTTTCATTTTTTTTTCTTTTTTTATCCAGGAGAGATGGGGCGACAAAAGGACTTCTCCCAAGTAAAAATTCCCTTTTTCTTCTAGCCATTGATCGCTGGTTTTTTTTTCTGACTGAACCAATTTTGGCTCTTTTTTGACTCCCAGACTGTTAGCGATATGTTGAAAAAAGCCGATTAAGACTTTAATTTCTTGATGAGCGAAAGTAATGGCTTGGGTTAACTCTGTTTCGCTTATTTCCTGCGCTCCCGCCTCCAGCATGGCAATTTTTTCCTCCGTAGCACTGACAATTAATTCTAATGGAGAATTATCAAGTTTTTCCCGGCTGGGATTACTAATAAATTTTTTTTCTTCTTGCCCGACAATCACGGCCGCTAAAGGAGTAGCAAAAAAAGGCAACTCGGGACAAAGGTAACTAACCAAAAAAGAATTTCAAATGCTAACTACACGGGGGTCACAGTCCG